ATATATATAGTAGTACAGTATAGTAGTATATAGTATTGTTATATAGTATTTAGATAGTATAGTAGTAGTATAGTAGTAGTATAGTAGTAGTAATAGTAGATATATTGTATAGTAGTTGTATAGTATAGTATAGTAGTAGTAGTAGTGGCATATACGTATAGTATCAGTAGAAGTAGTAAGAATAGTAAAAAGTAGTAGTATAGTATATAGTAGTATAAGTAGTATATAGTAATGTAGTAGTATAGTATATAGTAGTATAGAAAGCAGTATAGTAGTACAGTAGTAGTAGTATATAATATAGTAGTGTAGTAGTATAGTAGTAGAAGAAAGTATAGTAGTAGTATAGTAAGTAGTAGTATAGTATATAGTAAGTATAGTAGTATAGTAATAGTAGTAAATAGTATATAGTATAGTAGTAGTAGTAGTATAGTATAGTAGTATAGTAGTAGTATAGTATAAGTAGTAGAAAGTATAGTATAGTAGTAGTATAATAGTAGTAGTACAGTAGTAGTATAGTAGTAGTATAGTAGAGTAGTATAGAAAGTATAGTAGTTAAGTAGTGTATAGAAAGTATAGTAGTATAGTAGTAGTATAGTATAGTAGTAGTAGTGTATAGTATAGTAGTAGTAGTATAGTAGTATAGTAGTAGTATATAGTAGTAAGTATATAGTAGTAGTAGTTATAGTATAGAAAGTATGGTAGTAGTAATGTAGTATAGTATAGTATTAGTGTAGTAGTATAGTAGTAGTATAGTAGTAGTAGTATAGTAGTAGTAGTTAGTAAGTATAGTAGTAGTAGTGTAGCAGTAGTAGTGTAGTAGTAGTATAGTAGTATGTAGTAGTAGTAGTATAGTAGTAGTAGTTATAGTAGTAGTATATTTATAGTATTAGTAGTAGTATAGAAATAGTAGTAGTAGTAGTATAGTATATAGTAGTAGTAGTATAGTAGTAGTAGTATTTATAGTAGTAGTAGTATAGTAGTATAGTAGTATGGTAGTAGTATAGTAGTATATAGTAGTAGTAGTAGTGTAGTAGTATAGTAGTAGTAAGTAGTAGTAGTATAGTAGTAGTAGTGTAGTAGTATAGTAGTAGTAGTTTTAGTAGTAGTATAGTAGTAGTATAGTAGTATAATAGTAGTATAAATAGTATAGTAGTAGTATAGTAGTAGTAGTAGAGTAGTGGTAGTATAGTAGTAGTATAGTAGTAGTAGTAGTATAGTAGTATAGTAGTAGTAGTATAGTAGTAGTATAGTAGCAGTATAGTAGCAGTATCGTAGCAGTATAGTAGAGTATAGTAGTAGTATAGTAGTAGTATAGTAGTAGTAATAGAAGTAGTGGTAGTATAGTAGTATTAGTATAGAAAGCAGTAGTATAGTAGTAGTAGTGGAGTATAGTAGTAGGGGTTTAGTATAGAAAGTAGTGTAGTATAGTAGTGGTAGTATAGTAGTGGTAGTATAGTAGTAGTAGTATAGTAGTAGTAGTAGTATAGTAGTAGTGGTAGTATAGTAGTAGTAGTGTAGTAGTAGTAATGGTGGTGATGTAGGTGGTGATAGTATTACCATGCTGTCCTTATTAGTAAAGTGGAGCATCCAGCCTTCCTTGAGCACCTTGGAGGGTCGCTTGGTATAGTAGTAGTAGTATAGTAGTATAGTAGTAGTAGTAGTATAGTAGTAGTATAGTAGTATAGTAGTAGTAGTAGTATAGTAGTAGTAGTAGTAGTAGTAGTAGTATAGTAGTAGTAGTAGTATAGTAGTAGTAGTAGTAGTAGTAGTATAGTAGTAGTAGTAGTAATGGGGGTGTTGTAGGTGGTGATGTTTTTAACCATGCTGCCCTTATTAGTAAAGTGGAGCATCCAGCCTTCCTTGAGCACCTTGGAGGGTCGCTTGGTATAGTAGTAGTGGTATAGTAGTAGTATAGTAGTAGTAGTATAGTAGTATAGTAGTGGTAGTATAGTAGTAGTAGTAGTAATGGTGATGTAGGTGGTGATAGTATTACCATGCTGTCCTTATTAGTAAAGTGGAGCATCCAGCCTTCCTTGAGCACCTTGGAGGGTCGCTTGGTATAGTAGTAGTGGTATAGTAGTAGTATAGTAGCAGTAGTATAGTAGCAGTAGTATAGTAGTAGTATAGTAGTAGTAGTAGTATAGTAGTAGTGGTAGTATAGTAGTAGTGGTAGTATAGTAGTAGTAGTAGTATTATAGTAGTAGTAGAAGTAGTATAGTAGTAGTAGTAATGGTGGTGATGTAGGTGGTGATAGTATTACCATGCTGTCCTTATTAGTAAAGTGGAGCATCCAGCCTTCCTTGAGCACCTTGGAGGGTCGCTTGGTATAGTAGTAGTAGTATAGTAGTAGTATAGTAGTAGTAGTATAGTAGTAGTAGTAGTAGTAGTAGTAGTAGTAGTAGTAGTAGTATAGTAGTAGTAGTAGTAGTAGTAGTTAGTAGTAGTAGTAGTATAGTAGTAGTAGTAGTAATGGTGGTGTTGTAGGTGGTGATAGTATTACCATGCTGTCCTTATTAGTAAAGTGGAGCATCCAGCCTTCCTTGAGCACCTTGGAGGGTCGCTTGGTATGTTTCACTGACTGCACGATCCTCATCAACGGTATGTTACTACTCGCAGATGGACTGTAAACAAACAATGGTAAAACACTAAATAATTACAAGCACTGCATGTCAGTGGCTTTCTTCTCTGCCTAACAATACTTTATTCTGTATAAACTATGTCTACTGCATACAAGAAATAACAAATATGAATTTGAATTATAAAACATTTCTGCATATTACAAAATAAAATTATTACAATTATAACATATTGAATATTATACAACTTGGGAATGATCATACAAAAGTGAGTTATTAACAACTGTAAAAGTTGGTGAAATTAAAGATTTCTAAAGTGATGTATGAAAGTGGTTTCTCCACTTAGTGGTAAATACAGTGTGTCAGTGACCTGCCAGGTCAGTTTGTCAGTGACCTGCCAGGTCAGTGTGTCAGTGACCTGCCAGGTCAGTGTGTCATGACCTGCCCCGGTCATGACCCGCCAGGCACTGGGCAGTGACCAAACCCGCCAGTTCAGTGTGCCAGTGACCAACCTCCGGTCAGTGTGTCATGACCCCGCCAGGTCAGTGTGTCAGTGACCTGCCAGTCCAGTGTGTCAGACCAACCGCCCCGTCAGTGTCATGACCTGCCGGCAGTGTGTGTGACCCCAGTCAGTGTGTCAGTGACCCCCAGGTCAGTGTTCCAGTACCCCGCCAGGTCAGTGTGTCAGTGACCAACCCGCCAGGTCAGTGGTCATGACCTCCATGTCAGTGTCAGTGACCGCCAGGTCAGTGTGCAGTGACCTCCCAGGTCATGTCAGTGACCTGCCAGGTCCCTGTCAATGCCTACCAGATCTGGTCAGTGACCTGCCGGGCAGTTTTTTAGTGACCTCCAGTCATGTGCAGTGACCAACCTGCCAGGTCAGTGTGTCAGTGACCAACCATGTCGTGGGTCCCTGACCTGCCAGGTCAGTGTGCACTGACCAACCTGCCAGGTCATTGGTCAGTACCAACCTGCCAGGTCAATGTGTCATGACCTGCCAGTCAGTGGTCAGTGCCTGCCAGGTCCTGTCATGACCAACCTTCCAGGTCCAGTGGCATGACCAACCTGCCAGGTCAGTGTGCCAGTTACCAACCTGCCAGGTCAGTGTCAGTGACCTTCCAGGGCAGTTGTCAGTGACCTGCCAGTCATGGTCAGTGACCAACCTGGGCCCGGTCAGTGTCAGTGACCTGCCCCGGTAGTGTTGTTACCTGCAAGGTCAGTGTCATGACCAACCTCCAGTCTGTGTGTCATGACCTGCCATGGTCAGTGTCCAGTGACCTGCCAGTCAGTGTCAGTACCTCCAGGGCAGTGTCAATGACCTACCAGGTCAGTGTGTCAGTGACCTGCCAGGTCAGTGTGCCAGTGACCAACCTGCCAGGTCAGTGTGCCAGTGACCAACCTGCCAGGTCAGTGTGCCAGTGACCAACCTGCCAGGTCTGTGTCAGTGACCAACCTGCCAGGTCAGTGTGCCAGTGACCAACCTGCCAGGTCAGTGTGCCAGTGACCAACCTGCCAGGTCAGTGTGCCAGTGACCAACCTGCCAGGTCAGTGTGCCAGTGACCAACCTGCCAGGTCAGTGTGCCAGTGACCAACCTGTCAGGTCAGGGGTGCCAGTGCCCAAAACCTGCCAGGTCAGGGTGCCAGTGACCAACCTGCCAGGTCAGTGTGCCAGTGACCAACCTGCCAGGTCAGTGTGCCAGTGACCAACCTGCCAGGTCAGTGTGCCAGTGACCAACCTGCCAGGTCAGTGTGCCAGTGACCAACCTGCCAGGTCAGTGTGTCAGTGACCAACCTGCCAGGTCAGTGTGTCAGTGACCAACCTTCCAGGTCAGTGTGCCAGTGACCAACCTGCCAGGTCAGTGTCAGTGACCAACCTGCCAGGTCAGTGTGCCAGTGACCAACCTGCCAGGTCAGTGTCCCATTTGCCCAAACCTGCCAGGTCAGTGTGCCAGTGACCACCTCCCAAGGTCAGTGTGCAGTGACCAACCTGCCAGGTCAGTGTGCCAGTGACCAACCTGTCAGGTCAGTGTGCTAGTGACCAACCTGTCAGGTCAGTGTGCTAGTGACCAACCTGTCAGGTCAGTGTGCCAGTGACCAACCTGCCAGGTCAGTGTGCCAGTGACCAACCTGCCAGGTCAGTGTGCCAGTGACCAACCTGCCAGGTCAGTGTGCCAGTGACCAACCTGCCAAGTCAGTGTGTCAGTGACCAACCTGCCAGGTCAGTGTGCCAGTGACCAACCTGCAGGTCAGTGTGCCAGTGCCCAAAACCTGCCAGGTCAGTGTGCAGTGACCAACCTGCCAGGTCAGTGTGCAGTGACCACCTGCCAGGTCAGTGTGCCAGTGACCAACCTGCCAGGTCAGTGTGCCAGTGACCAACCTGCCAGGTCAGTGTGCCAGTGACCAACCTGCCAGGTCAGTGCCAGTGACCAACCTGCCAGGTCAATGTGTCAGTGACCAACCTGCCAGGTCAGTGTGCCAGTGACCAACCTGCCAGGTCAGTGTGCCAGTGCCCAAAACCTGCCAGGTCAGTGTGCCAGTGACCAACCTGCCGGGTCCAGTGTGCCAGTGACCAACCTGCCAGGTCATGTGCCAGTGACCAACCTGCCAGGTCATTTGTGCAGTGACCAACCTGCCAGGTCAGTGTGCCAGTGACCAACCTGCCAGGTCAGTGTGCCAGTGACCAACCTGCCAGGTCAGTGTGCCAGTGACCAACCTGCCAGGTCAGTGTGCCAATGGCCTGCATGAGGTCAGTGTGCCAGTGACTGACCTGCCAGGTCAGTGTGCCAATGACTGACCTGTGTGAGGTCAGTGACCTGGGTGAGGTCAGTGTGCCAGTGACCAACCTGTGTGAGGTTGGTATTGCGACCCCTGAATGGGTCACAATGTATATAATGTATATTACCTGTTCATATAATTTTATATTACTGATATTTGTGGTGTTAGCTAAATCTTAAATATATTGCATTATATTATTATTTGACTTAGTTTATTATTAGGTAGGATGTAACATTTACCCCTTATTCAGTGCTCATTGCTCGAGAGTGTTAAGTAGCTGCCACGTTGTCTAACTACTGTAATTATTGCTCCGCTTGTTTTCCTGCCGGCTTCTCTGTAGTTGCTGGGCAGCAGCAGTCCACGGAGAGTCACGTGATCAGGGTGGGGTGATCACACCTCACCTGGGAGAGAGGACTGCCTTGCCTCAGACTAGCTCTTTCTGTTTGATGATGATTCCAACAACACCTCCCTCTCCAGCTCTCCCTTGCTGGCCTTTGTTGGAACATCATCTCTGTCGTTCTCTCTTGTTGTTAGTTCTGTGTAACTCTGTTCACAGAGCACAGCCTAGACTTAGTGATTTTTGACGCTTTACTGAGGTTGTGTGTCACACTGACACTCTGAGAAACTCAGGTCCTGAGCTGTAGCTTCTGACCTAATTTGTACTGGTATCTGTGCACCGTCACAGTCGGGGATTTTGTTATGCTGAACTTACATTTAGTATGGGAGTTTTGTGACTTTTGTAGAGGATTGCAGATGGTCCCTACTTAGGGTCATTATTTTATCTCCTTGTTCCTGATTCTGTGTTGCTGCTGCACGTTATATTGCTGTTTGGCAAATCAGTCGTATTACTGTTCAAGCAAGCTGTTCTGATTGCCAGGTTGGTCAAGAAGTTAGTTTATGTGAGGACTTTTAGTCAGCCACTGGTTAAGTCTAGTCGAGTCTTGAGACATAGCTAACTAATTAGAGCACTTACACACATACTCACTTGTATATATGTATTAGTATTATGTTCTTAAATGCTGACTTTGTACGAGACGGTACTTAAAAGCCAGAGAGAGACGATATGAGCCTTCAGCACAATACTACTGTACACGAGAGAAGTGTAGGAACTTGTATCCTATATTACATTAAATTGATTACTTTGATTTACTTTGATATTGTCCACCTAGACAACTTTATCTTTATTAATAAACTTCTTAAATTTTAATTTCTTTAGTTAGTAGCCTACCAGTTGTAATCCTGAAGCACTACTGAATCTTACTATTAAATTCTAATGGATAATTGGACCAGGATACTGACTACTTGTTACAAAAACCCAGTAACAGGCTGGATGCTAGAAGGACAGTCCTTTCTAGTATTCACTGGAGATCTCTATCCTTATAAAGATATCGCTTTTTTTGTAACAGTGTGCCAGTGACCAACCTGCATGAGGTCAGTGTGCCAGTGACCAACCTGCCAGGTCAGCATGCCAGTGACCAACCTGCCAGGTCAGTGTGCTAGTGACCAACCTGCCAGATTAGTGTGCTAGTGTATGACCTGTGAGGTCAGTGTGTTAGTGAGTAACCTGCCAGGTTAGTGTGCTAGTGACTAACCTGTTTGGTCTGTGCCTGAGAGCAGTGTCATCATCGGCACTGTCTGGGTCTAGGTGTAGCGTTGACGGTGGTGAATCATCGTTGTCGCTCTCATCGTCACGGGAACCGTCGGAACCTGTGTCGCCATCGTCTTACAAAATAAAAGAATTGTTTACTATCAAAACCAACTTAACTTACACTCAGTGGCCACTGTATTAGGTACACTTACTCCCAAATACAAATATCTAGTTAGTCAATCATAAGGCAGTACCTGAATGCCTAAAAAATCATGCACACAGAGTCAAGATGCTCAATTGTTGTTGTTCAGACTGAACATCAGAATCTGGAAGAAATGTGATGGCAGTGACAATGTGGAATGATTGGTGGTGCCAGTCAGTCAGGGCGGTTCAAACTGCTCACCTCTTGGGATGTTCACTCCAGAGTTTACAGAAAATGGTGTGAAAAACAAAACCTCCAGTAAGCAGCAGTTGTGTGGGCAAAGATGTCTTGTTAATGAAAGGTGAAAGGAGAATGGAAGACTGGATCAAGCTGACAGGAAGGTGACTAACTTTAATAATGTGTTATAATAGTGGTACAGTGGTATGCAGAAGAGTACAGTATCTTTGAATGTATAACACATGGAACCTTGAAGCAGACAGGGTAGAGCAACTGAAGACCACACTGGGTTCAACTCCTGTCTGCTAAGAACAGGAAACTGAGGCTACAGTGGGCAGAGGCTCACGAAAACTAGGCAACCGATGACTGGAAAAATATTGCCTGGTCTGACCAATCGCAGTTTCTATTGCAACATGCAGGTCGTCAGGTCAGAATGTGGTGGAACCCTTTAGGATGTGGTGGAATGGGAGATTCACAGCATTAATGTGCAGCCCACAAATCTGCAACAACTGCATCATGCTGTAACATCAATATGGATCAGAATCACTATAGAAGGTTTCCAGCACCTTCATAAATTCACACAGTTCTGGGTTCAAAAGGGGACTGTACCCAGTACTAAAAGTTGTACCTAATAAAGTGACCACTAAGTATATATTTATTAAACTACATGTAATTAAATTTGCCTGTACAGTAGGGCCCCACTTTACGGCATTTCGCTTTGTGGCGTTCTGCTAATATGGTCATTTCAAATTATGACCAAAACTCTCTATACGGTTCCCTCCACCTGATTTTCTAATACGGTCAATGTGCACCACCCAGTTTGTTTTACATTCTCCGTGAGATAAACACTAAGTCTCTCCATTATGTCAAGAAACTCCAAAATTTCAAATGTTTTAAAGTTATTTCATATTTTATGTATACTCTGATATTTATACTTATGTATTCCTGTACCTAAATAAACTTGCACACTGTGCTGGCATGCAGGTACACATTAAAATCAGTAAGAGTGTCTTATGTCTCGAGACACCATATTAGTAATAATAATAATAATAATAATAATAATAATAATAATAATAATAATAATAATAATAATAATAATAATAATAATAATAATAATAATAATAATAATAATAATCACCAAGCCTCACTGAATGTCGTGTATTACATTAATACACATATTTTCGTTAATCCATCTATGATATTTCTTCAAAATTATATAATAAACACGATACATAACATATAAAGATGATAAATACATCCCACAGTAGAATAACATTTTCTCTAGTCCAATAAAAGAGAAAATGTGTTACTGGGGGGTAACTGCAGAAAATTATTCCCTTCATATGTAAGTTTATTCAGGTATACACAAATATAGTTACAAAAATTATCATACATAACAGCATGTGTGTAAAGTACCTAGGATAACCCAAAAAAGTCAGACAGAGTGACTTCCACTCCTTCACTCAGAGTCATTTCTTCTAAAAATGGTGTTACATGAGAATGGGAGAGTTGCTCTTTATTTATTCTACCGTATCAATGTAGAGACAACTTGTACACAAACCAGACATGTATGCCTGCCTTGTTTACAGAACTTGCATTCGCCTGGTTTATTTACATAGCTCTGTGCCTGTCCTCCCTCATGTACTCATTCTCTCTCCCTCTCATTTATTCGTTTTGTCTCGTTTGCTCACCCATGACCCTACATTAAGACTACAAATATTTTAAGGTAAGTAATAAGTGAATTGTATATGCATTTTATTGCTCTGGGATGCTTAACCCTTTGAGGGTTTTCGTCGTACTAGTACGTCTTACGCGTAGGGGTTTTTGACGTACTAGTACTCATAAATTCTAGCGGCCTCAAATCTAGTGGGAGAAAGCTGGTAGGCCTTCATATGAAAGAATGGGTCTATGTGGTCAGTGTGCACAGTCTAAAAGAAATCCTGCAGCACACAGTGCATAATGAGAAAAAAAAAACTTTGACCATTTTTTTTTTATTAAATCAGCGACTTTGCAGTGTATTTTCGTATGGTATTTATTGTTGTATTCTAGTTTTCTTGGTCTCATTTTATAGAATGGAAGACATATTACAGAAATTGAGATGATTTTGACTGGTTTTAAAAAGAAAGGTGCCTTGAAATTGAGCTCAAAGTAGCAGAAATGTTCGATTTTTACCAAACTTCAAAAGTAAACAAATCGTGCCAAGCGTGCAATACACGTCAACTGGTGAGTCTAATATTCTTTCACAAGTGCACCAATAATATTTATACCATTTTTTACACTAATGCAGTAGTCTGCATAACAGTAAATCTTATATTTTTTGTGAAAATAAAAATTCAAAGTGGAAAGCAAAAGAATATAAGAGGGGCCTTGAGACATGACTAATGACTAGAGGAAATGTCATTTTAGTGCCAGGAATGTCTTTCTTGTTTATTCTGGACCCTATTCGGAAATTGGCATCTTTTGAAATTTGTGTGAAATTGGCAAAATTGCTAAATTCTGACCACTGTACTGGATAGTTGAATTTCATAAATGAGTGGTTTCCTTGCACCCATTCGATAGAAAAAATGGAGTTCTAGCGAAATATTCATGTTTTTTGTCGACTAGTACAGTGAAATTGGCCGAAAATGGGGCTCAAAGTGGGCAAAATCGCCGATGCGTAAACATCGCCGAGACCGCTAACTTTGCGAGAGCATAATTCCGTAAGTTTTCTATCAAATTTAAAACTTTTGGTGTCTTTATGATCGGGAAAAGATTCTCTATCTTTTCATAAGAGAAAATAATTTTTTTTTTTAAATTTGGCCGACCCTGAGAACGAGTTTCGGAGAGGGCCTGTCGACCCTCAAAGGGTTAAATATCATAGAATATTATGTGTGGGTGGGTGGGTTGGCCTGGCTGGCCACCATACATACTGCACTTGATTTCTTACAACAAATACTATACAAATACACCTACCATCCGACTTACGACCTGTTCGACTTACGACCACTCGACTTACGACCGTGTTTTTTATGCCAAATTTCTGGGAAATAAACAAGTGTTTATGTTGTACACAGTGTTTATCCTAAACCTTACAGTATAAAATACAGTACTAACAGCATAAAAAGTAAAGTAAAACATGAAATACCAAAATAAAACAATAAAATAAAGTCATTACAAAAATGTTTTGTTGATATTCAGTAGTAAAGTTCAACTTACGACCATTTCGACTTACGACCGGTTTCTTGGAACCGAACTCGGTCATAAGTCGGATGGTAGGTGTATTTTAAGGTAAGTAATGAGTGCACTATAATGTATTTTACTTTTGTATTGTTTTTTAATGCCTAGTTCTATTGCTAACTTAACCCTTTGAGGGTCGACAGGCTCTCTCAGAAACTCGTTCTCAGGGTCGGCCAAATTTCAAAAAAAAAAAAAAAATTTTTTTTTTTTTATGAAAAAACATTTTTTCCTAAAAACATTAATAGGCTAAAAAAAAAAAATTTTTAAACCATAAATTACTTACCAAATATGGGGCGTGAAGTTTCCAAAATTGAAAAAACAAAATGAAAAACATCGCTAAACGGGCCCCGTCACCTGGTATTTTTCTTTTTACTTTTTATTACTTTTTTCAATTTTTTTTTCTTTTTTTCTTTTTCTAAATAATTTTTAAAACGGCCCTGGGGCCCAAACATAAAATCTTTTTTTGGGAATTTTATTTTTTTTTTAAATTATTACACAATAAGAGCGAAAAACCACTGTTTTCATTTTTTTATTTTTATGAAAATTTTTTACACAAACTTATAAAATGTTTTTATTACTTTTTTTCTATATTTTTAAAACCACATATAATCCCCGGAATGTTTTTAGAAGTTTTTCACCCTGTGAACTCTTTGAAACAATTTTTTTTGGTCAGGGCACATGGTGTTTTACATCGTCACACAAAAACCCGAGTGTCTTGCGTTTTTGTGGCTTTTTTTTTGTATGTGCACGACGTAACCCCTTTTCGAGGCCTTTTTTTCCCAAAGCAGTAGCGGCCAGTTTTACCGGGAAATGATAAACCAGGGCTTCAACGAGCAGGTTTTTTTAAATTTTGGGGTGGGGGGTAAAGGGGGGAAAGGGCGGGCCCTTTGGGATTTAAAACCCCATTTGTCTAAAGGGACAGACAAACAGAATTCGCCTACTGGGTTTGTTTCTGGTCCTCATCTTATACATATTATAACCCATTGAGCATGGAAAGTCCAAAAAGATGGAAAAAGATTTTGATGCACCACTTACAATTTTGGGCAAAACACAATCAGAAAACCCCAAATTTCTCCAGGGTCACTTTTGTCCACAAAAATTGAAAGTTGAAGGTAAAAATCAATCAGGGCTGCGGTTTTTAGAAGGGTTCTTTTGCCTCTCTATGTTTCCCCTGAAACTGTCTACCATTTCATTGGGGAATTGATGACAACAGTGCACATCTCATTTGCCCTGCCACCAAAAAGGGCAAAATGTCATTGGCGGGAAAAACCCTGCCCTCACCTCAAACGAGTGCCAGCGTAAAACCTGGGCATATTTTTTCCGTTTTGGGCACACACTGTCCAACACATCTGTCTTTGTTCACGCGAAAAAAATCATTTAAAAGTGGGGGGTTGTTTTCCCAGTTACCCGGGGGATACAATAAAACCCCCTTACCGGGTATTTCTTTTTCTTGTTCAAACCCCACATCCCCTGAGATCCCCAAAAAACCCCTTTTTATTTTGCAAGTTAACTTCCATGAAACCCCAATTTAATTCCAAT